ACATTAAGAAGAAACAGAAGACTCAAAAACCAAAATGAGAAATGGAAGAGAAAACAATACAACAGATGCCCACAGAAACACATTGTGTGGTAACAGATTACTATAAACAATTATATACTAAAATATCAGATAACTTAGGAAAAAACTCAGATAAATCCTAAAAACCCAGAAGTCACCAAGATTGAATCATGAATCTTGAATCCAAGAGATACAAAATCTTCTTAGGCCAATAATAAGAATGAAGATTGAATTAGGAATCAAAAATCTCCCAGCACAGAAAAGCCCAAGACCCCATGGTTTCATTGGTGAATTATACCAAACATTAAAATACATAATAAATGACAGTCTTTATCCAAATGTTACCAATAGGGGGCACTTGGGTGGCTAGTCGTTAAGCGTCTGCCTTCAGCTCAGGTCATGGTCCCAGGGTCCTGGCACTGAGCCCCGCATCGGGCTCCCTGCTCGGTGGGAAGCCTGCTTCTTCCTCTTCCACTGCCCCTGCTTGTGTTCCATCCCTCTCTGTGTCTCTCTCTGTCAAATAAATAAATGAAATCTTTTTTAAAAAAATGTTACCAATAATGGAATAGAGGGAACACATTCAAAATCATTTCATGAGACCAATATTACCCTGGTACCAAGCAAAGAAAAACAATACAAGAACCAGGGTGTTTGGGTGGCTCAGTTGGTTTAGTGACTGACTCTTGATCTCAGCTCAGGTCTCGATCTCAGTATCCTGAGTTCAGGCCTCACAGTGGGCTCAGTGCTGGGCATGGAGCCTGCTTAAAAAACAACAACAACAAACAATATGAGAACAAAAAAGTCTACTTTTTCCAATAAAGGATTGCTACTCGAACTGAATTTTCTATTGATATCTATTTGCATCTACCTCCACCCCCTTATTCTCAATCTGCAGGTGTCTTTAGGTCTAAAATGAGTCTTTCGTAGGCTTAAAGCAAAATTGACAGGAAATGTTTTGTGCTGATCTCAGCCTCTTAATTACCACTGTTGTTGCTGGACTGGCTCTTGTGGCTCTTACTATGACTGCAAGCAGGAAACTTTGAAAAACAACAAGTTTTATTATTCATAGGTTCTGGAGGGTATACAGCACACCTGGGGCAACACAGTGAGGTCATGGGTAGAGAAAGAGATAAAGAGTGTGGACCTGGGGTTCTGCTGTTTTGGGGGGAATCTAAGGACAGGGGCCTGGGGTTTCACAGGTTCACTCTTTATTGGTGAATTTAAAACATAAAAGTGGAATTTAGAACACAGAAAATGGTCACTTATCTAAATCTACCAAGATCTCTAAAGCAAAGGAGCCTGTTGGGGGAGGTGGTGACCTGGCTCTTTATCTAGTCTTATGGCTGGCATTGTGTTTTTCTGTGATAGGGGTCTTAGAAGTGGATACCTCTTTGAAGTGCATGCCTTGGCAATCAAAATTGAGGTCAAAATTCAGGCACTTGGATTACCAAAAAAAAAAAAAAAAAAAAAAAGCCCAACAAAAACAAAACTACCAGGGCTTACACTATAGTAGGAAGATTACAGAAATTTCCCATATGCTCTTGGCCCCTTTACATCTTAGCCTCTCCCATCATTATCATTATTCACCAGAATGGTACATTTTCTTTTTTAAAGATTTTATTTATCTGACAGGGAGAGAAAGCAAGTGAGCACAACTAGGGGAAGCAGTGGGCACTGGTGGAAGGAGAAGCCGGCTTCCTGCTGAGCAAGACCACGGGATCATGACCTGAGCCCAAGGCAGGTGCTTAACGACTGAGCCAACCAGGCGCCCCTGGAATGGTACATTTTTTTAACCAAGGAAAAACCTACCTTGACCTACCATGATCATCCAAGGGCCATAGTGCACCACCCTAGGGTTCTCTGTTGGTATTGTATATTCTATAGGTTTAGACAAATGTATAATGACATCTGTCATTATAGTAATGACAGATGTCATTATACATATAGTAATTCATTATAATTATATAATTATACATATAGTAATTCATTATAGTAATCACACAGAGTATTTTTTCTCCTTAAAAATCCTCTCTGCTTTGGCATTTCCTTTTTCCTTTTTTTTTTTTTTTTTTTTTGGTAGGGTTTTTAAATTTTACTTTATTATATTTAAATTCAAGTAATTAGCATACCGTGTATTATTAGTTTCAGAGGCAGAGTTCAGTGATTCATCAGTTGCATTTAACACCCAGTGCTCATTACATCAACTGCCCTCCTTAATGCCCATCACCCAGTTACACCAAACCCCTACCTACCTCCTCCAGCAGCCCTCAGTTTGTTTCCTTAAGAGTCTCTCATGGTTTGTCTCCCTCTCTGATTTCATCTTTATTTTCCCCTCCTTTCTCTTTGATCCTCTGTTTTGTTTCTTAAATTATACATATGAGTGAAATCATATAATTGTCTTTCTCTGATTAACTTATTTCGCCTAGCATAATACCCTTTAGTTCTATCCACATTGTTGCAAATTTTAAGATTTCATTTTTTATGGTTGAGTAATATTCCATTGTACATGCATACCACATCTTCCTTATCTGTTCATCTGTTGATGGGCATTTCTATAGATTGGCTTTTGTGGACATTGTTACTATAAATATTGGGGTGCTGATGCCTCTTTGGATCACTGTTTGTAGGCGTTGGATAAATACATATTAGTGCAGTTGCTGGCTTATAAGGTGTCTCTATTTTCATCTTTTTGAGGAATATCCATACGGTTTTCCAGAGTGGCTGCACCAGCTTGCATTCCCAACAGTGTAGGAGGGTTCCCCTTTCTCCACATCCTGCCAATGTCTGTTGTTTCCTGACTGGTTCATTTTAGCCATTCTGGCTGGTGTGAGGTGGTATCTCACTGTGTTTTTGATTCATATTTCCCTGATGCCTAGTGATGTTGAGCACTTTTTCATGTGTCTGTTGGCCATTTGGATGTCCTCTATGGAGAAGTGACTGTACATGTCTTCTGCCCACTTCTTGATTGTATTGTTTGTTCTTTGGTGTTGAGTTTGGTAAGTTTTTTATATAGATTCTAGATACTAGTCCTTTATCTGAAGATGTGCACATATCTTCTCTCATTCGGTAGGTTGTCTTATGGATTTGCCGACTGTTTCCTTTGCTGTGCAACAAAGCTTTTTATCTTGATGAAGTCCCAATAGTTTATGTTTGCTTTTGTTTTCCTTGCCTCCAGAGACATATCTAGCAAGAAGCTGCGGTGGCCGAGGTCAAAGAGGTTGCTGCTTGTGATCTCCTCTAGGATTTTGATGGATTCCTGTCTTACATTTAGATCTTTCATCCATTTTGAGGTTATTTTTGTATATGGCATAAGAGAATGGTCCAGTTTTGTTCTTCTACATGTTAGCTGTCCAGTTTTCCCAACACCATCTGTTGAAGATACCATCTTTGTAAAAAAATTTTTTTAAAGATTTATTTATTTGACACAGAGAGAGAGCATGAGAGAGCACAGCAGAGGGAGCAGCAGAAAGAGAGAGAGAAGCCGACTCCCTGCTGAGCAGGGAGCCTGATGTGGGGCTTGATCCCAGGACCCTGGGACCATGACCTGAGCTGAAAGCCTGCGCTTAACTGACTGAACCACCCAGGTTCCCCAAGACCATCTTTTTTCCATTGGCTATTCTTTTCTGCTTTGTTGAAATTAGTTGAGCATAGAGTTGAGAGTCCATTTTTGGATTCTCTGTTCTTGGCATTTCTTTTTCATTCTTTCTCGGAATTTCCACCTCCTTGCAGTGCCCGTCTGTTTTTCATGTCTGCTTTTTCCCTTTGAGGTCTTAACATATAAATCATAGTTGTTTTAAATTACTGGTCTCATTATTCCTACAACCCTGTCATATCTGAGTCTGCTTCTGATTTTTTGTTTTTTATGATTTTATTTATTTGTTTGACAGAGATCGCAAGTAGGCAGAGAGGCAGGCAGTGGGGTTGGGGGTGGAAGCATGCTCTCTGCTAAGCAGAAAGCCCGATTCAGAGCCCAGTTCCAGGACCTTGAGATTATGACCTGAGCCAAAGGCAGAGGCTTAACCCACTGAGCCACCCAGGTGCCCCTGGTTCTGATGTTTGATTTGTGTTTTCAAGCTATGTTTTTTGTCTTTTAGTATGTCTTACAGTTTTTTGTTGAAAGTTGAATGTGATGTACTGAGTAAAAGGAGCTCTGATAAATAAGCTTTTAGTTGTGAGATGGTGAGGTGTGGGGGAAGTGAAGTGTTTTATAGTCCTATGAGTAAGTCTCAGTCCTTTGGTGAGCCTTTGCTACTGGGCTATGAATTTCAGAAGTGCTTCTCAGGGGTGCCTGGGTGGCTCAGTCATTAAATGTCTGCTTTCAGCTCAGGTCATGATCCCAGGGTTCTGGAATCAAGCCCTGAACTGGGGGGGTCCCTGATCAGCGCGAAGCCTGCTTCTCCCTCTTCCAATCCCCTCGCTTATGTTCCCTCTCTTGCTCTGTCTCTGTCAAATAAATAACTAAAATCTTAGGAAGAAAAAAGTTCTTCTCAGTCTTCACTTATACACCTCTAGTTGGATAGATGGTTGGAATGGGCTGGACCTGGGTATGTCCTTACCCCAGTTTGGTTAAGTGCTGATGAAACCCCAAGAGATTAGGCTTTGGTAAAATAGTTTCTCTTAAGGGCAGACCTTGTCAAGAACAGAATGCTCTGTTGTATTTCCAAATGATTCCTTTTCTTCTTCTTCTGCTGGAACCATGAGGGTTTTTTTCCCCCGCTGATATTGACTGTGGGAACCTGATCAAGCTCCTGGAGGTAAAATTCATAGAAGTGTGGAGATCTCCCTATGACTTTATTCCTCATCTTGATTTCACTGTGTTACAAAAAGGTAGCTCTGTAAAATAGTGAACTCTGATTTTTGAAGTAATGTCATCCCAAGTAGTTTTATTAAAGTTAAACTGAAGCAGAGGTGCATTTGGTTGATATAAGGAAATTTATTATAGCTGTCTGTGGTTTCTGTTTTCGTGTTTTTTTTCTCTTCAGTACTTGGACCATGAGACTGTTTCAGCCACATTCATCGACAGTAGTGGACAGTTTGTTTCCTCCCAGGTGACAGGAGTTAACCGGAATCCTTACTGTGGCTATGAGCATCAGACTCTGTCTAGCCGGGAGCGCATGGAGGAGGACTCCTTGCTGGCTGCCCTACAATGGCAGGTGCCTGATATGGGTCCGGTCCCCTTTCTGAAGAGCACTGACCCTTCTTCCAGCTACTTTGTTATCTTGAACTCTGCAGCCTTCTTCAAGGTGGGAAGCCAGCTAGAAGTGCTGGTTCACGTACAGGATTTTCAAAGAAAACCCAAGAAATATGGTGGAGATTACCTGCAGGCCAGAATCCACTCACCTAAGCTGCAGGCAGGGGCTGTGGGCAGAGTGGTAGACTACCAGAATGGGTTTTACAAAGTCTTTTTCACTTTGCTCTGGCCGGGCAAGGTTAAAGTGTCCATATCTCTCGTCCACCCCACTGAAGGGATCAGAGTTCTGCAGCACCTACAGGAAGAGAAACCACACAGGGTCTATTTCAAGAGTCTCTTCCGTTCAGGAAGAATTTCTGAAACCACGGAGTGCAATGTGTGTCTTCCTGGGAATCTGCCCCTGTGTAACTTTACAGATCTCTATACTGGAGAACCCTGGTTCTGCTTCAAACCAAAGAAGCTCCCATGCAGTAGTAGAATTAACCATTTCAAAGGTGGATACCTGAAGGGCCTTCTAACTGCTGCAGAGAATGCTTTCTTCCAGAGGTACGTGCTTCTTGTTCTAGGGGCTAATTTAAGGGTCCTTTCCCACTGTTTTTGTCCCAGTTAGGAGACTTTCTTGTTTTGGTTATTTCCTTCATATATTTCTCTGAACTTGGCCCAGTTTGGGAGAGGTAGTGAATAAGAAAATAAATATTTGTATTTTGTGAATAGTTTTTATTTATTTATTTTTAATTTATTTAGGTTCTTTTTATTTTTTTGATTTTTTAATTTTTTTTGTGTGTGTGTGTTTTAAGTCACAGGTGTGCAACTTTACTTCATTAGTTAAACCCCTTATGATAAATAACAGAATTAAGTCAGAACTAAATATATATATATATATATATACATGTATATTTACTTCAAAGAAAAATGGAAAAAGGAAAACCTCAAAACCAAAGTGTATTGCCCTGTTGAGAATATCTAATGTACATCAAAGAATTGGAAGACAGACGTTTTTACCAAGTACAATGTCACTAGGACGTATGGATTGTAATTATAAAACCAAGTTTGGAAACACAAAGGGGCCACTGGCAGGGACACAGAACAACGAGCAGGTGCTGTGGGAGTAATAGGTTCTTTTTATTTTTAAGTAATCTTTGCACCCAATGTGGGGCTTGAACCCCTGAGATCAAGTTGCATGCTCCACTGACTCACTGACTAAGCCAGCCAGGTGCCTCCTTGTGAATAGTTTTTAAAAAGTGAAACTAAGAGCTCATTCCAGTTCAAATTAAAGGCTTTTTACCCTTGAGTTTTTGGTTTTTTACCCTCATATCTATGTTTTACCTCAGAACTACATAGCACAGGGGTGCCTGGGTGGCTCAGTGGGTTAAGCCGCTGCCTTCGGCTCAGGTCATGATCTCGGGGTCCTGGGATCGAGTCCTGCATCGGGCTCTCTGCTCAGCGGGGAGCCTGCTTCCCTCTCTGTCTCTCTCTGCCTGCCTCTCCATCTACTTGTGATCTCTTTCTGTCAAATAAATAAATAAATAAAATCTTAAAAAAAAAAAAAAAGAACTACATAGCACATCTAGAGCTGTGTAAGAAAAATAACTTATTCACAGAACAAATAAAAAAAATCATCCAAGAACTGGAGGACTTGTAGTCAGGCCAATGGTTTAGCTTCATGTCTAATAAAATAAAAAAAGTTTAATTGGCATATTATCAGTTGTTAAAATCATATAAACATGTATTGATAGAAAAAAGACTATGGGGGTGCCTGGGTGGCTCAGTTGTTAAATAAACATCTGCCTTTGGCTCAGGTCATGATCCTGGGGTCCTGGGATCGAGCCCCGCATTGGGCTCCCTGCTCCACAGGAAGCCTGCTTCTCCCTCTCCCACTCCCCCTGCTTGTGTTCCCTTTCTCACTGTGTATCTCTCTATCAAAAAAATAAATAAAATCTTAAAAAAAAAATAGACTGAATATGATAACATTGCTGGGTTGATTTAATGATAAGAATGGGAAGCTAGGAGTATCATAGCAAACTCTATTTTTAAAATTAATAGTTGTTGAAATTTTTGTTTTACTGTGTACAAATTTGTTTTTGAACAAAAGTATAAAACTTTTTCAGTATAATGATCAATATATGGAATAGTGTGCAGAATAGAATATATGTGGGATCAGTTCAAATTAAGATGTTTTCTTCAACATCCCATGTAGTTCTGAAGTAAAATAGCATGCCTAAGGAAAAAAAGTTAGAAAGCATATGGCCAAAATGTCCCATTATTTGAAAGAATGTAAAAATGTCTTTTATTTTTTAATGAAATACATAATTTAAAAAATATTCCCTGGCAGAGGGGTAGTTTTGTTGAATACATCTAGGCAGCCCTAAAAATTTTTTTGTTTTATGTCCTCTCTTTCCTCAGTGGGGGAGAAGTGCCTGCCATATGGTATATAAGTCTACAGGAGCTTCTACAATAAAGGCCTTTGATTTTTCACTTCTGGAGTCAGCTTTTGGTCTGACCAGTTTTTGTTTTTGTTTTTGTTTTTTAAAGGTTTTATTTTTTTATTTGACAGACAGAGATCACAAGTAGGCAGAGAGGCAGGCAGAGAGAGGGAAGCAGGCTCCCCTCTGAGCAGAGCCATCATGACCTGAATCTTGGAAGGCAGAGGCTTAACCCACTGAGCCACTCAGGTGCCCTGGTCTGACCAGTTTTAAATACGTTATTTGGTGGACCCATGCCATGCTGTTAGAAGGCCAGCAGATGGAGCACTACTCAATGTATTTCCTGCTACTTCAGTGTAGAGAAAAACTCTGCACACAAGGACTTTAGCTTTAGTTTATCTTGGGTTTGATCTCAGACAAGCTCTTTATCAGTGACAGTCAACAGATTATTTCAGTTCTGTGTACTTTTTGCCAGTGTGTGAACACTGCTCAGTTACTCCCCTTTTAGAGTTGTGTTGTCAGTCCACTTAGTGGCTTAGCAAAACAGAGGAAGTATAGCTTGTAATTTATTGAAATTCCATGTGGAAAAAGTGGGAAAAAGGCTAGAGAATTTGTAAAATTTGAGAATATTCCTGACACCAAATCCTACCATTAAAAACCAGAAAACACCTATGAGTCATGAAGGATGAAATAATGTATGTCTCTGCCTTACTTGCATATCCTGGATAAGTCTAGCTGATGGCTCTTTGTGGGAGAATCACTTTGTAGTAGAATCATTAGGAAATTCTAGTTCCTGGAAGTTTGCTGGGAAAATAGTGTTGAGGTGGCATTTTTGGAAACTAAACATTTGATAGTACTGATGCTGATTTTATTTTTGCCTTGTTTTCTCTGTTTTGTACCAGCTAACTGAGGAGAAAAAGCAAAAGATTGAAATTGATCTTTTGAGGTGTCCTTGGGTGTACTGTTTTGAGTGCATGGCCTGAATATGTTAGACTGATAACCATTTTTACCTTTTTCGCTTGGTGGCTTATAACATTGCTTAATTCAGAAAGGATTAAGAAGCTTAGCCTTGGTCTTTGGTTCCCTAAATTACAACTGGACAATTAAAGTGCTCTCATCTTTGGTTCTTCACTCCTAAGGGAAAAAAGTGTTGGTTTTAGAAAGAACAACAGTACTTTGCTTAAATGATCTTATTAGTATAAAGGAAGGCCTTTTGAAAGAATGAGCTTCTCATGTGAAAAGCTTCCCATCTATTTCCAGCATAATTTAATCTTTTTCTTTCTAAGTTTGTGTTTAAAAAAAAACCTTTCGAGTCATTAGAAACACTACAGGAATAATAAGAATGAACATCCACCTGTCTGTTACTTAGATTTACAGTTGTTACTATTTTGCTACATTTGCTTTTTCTCTGTAGGTGGTACAGTTGTTACTATTTTGCTACATTTGCTTTCTCTTGCTTTCTGTAGGTGATGTCTTTGTGTAATTCCCCCTACCCCTATCCCCTACCACCCACCATTTGAGAGTAAGTTACAGACATCATGGTGTTGCACCTATCAGTATGAGTCTCCTAGCACATGCACTGTCCAGTATGTAACCAGAGCAGAGTTACCACACTTAGGGCATTTATCACTGATATAATACTGATATCTAATACGTAGTGCTTACTCACGTTTCTCTGGTTGTCCCAGTAATGTCCTTTATGGCTGTCTTTTTTATTTTATAAAGATGTATCTGTTTATTTTAGAGAGAGAGAGTATGAGCATGAAGCAGATGAAGAGGGAAAGAGAATCTTAAGCCGAGTCCACATTCACACGGGGCTCAATCCCACCACCCTGAGATCACAACCTGAGCGAAAACCAAAAGTTGCGTGCTCAAGTGCCTGTGTCACCCAGGTGCCTCTTTTTATTTTTCAAAAAGATTTACTTATTTATTTTTGTTTTTATTAATCTATGTTTTTGTTTTTTTCTTTTGGTGGCGCAGTGGGTTAAGCGCGTAGGACTCTTGGTTTCTGCTCAGGTCCTTATCTCAGAGTCTTGAGACCAAGCTGGGTGTCATGTTCCATGCTCAGTGTGGTCTGTGCTTAAGACTTTCTCTCCCTCTCTCTCTACACTGCCCCCCACTCTCTCTCTGTCTCTCTCTCAAAGAAATAAATCTTAAAAAGAAAAAAAAATAGACGTATTTTAACTACTCTAACCTATGATCATACATAGTGTGTTTAGTTATCTCTTTAATCTCTTTTAATTTGGAAGAGGTCTCTAGCTTGTTTTTTGCAATATTAAGAATTTGGGTTGGGCTCTGCTATCAGCAGTCTGTTTGTCCCTCTCCTTCCCCTTCTCTGCTACTCATACTTTCTCTCTCTCTCTGTCTCTCAAATAAATAATAAATAAATAATATCTTTTTAAAAAGTTTAAAAAATAATTTTGATGTCATTGTTTTGTAGGTTGTCCCTTAGTTTGGATTTGCTCCTTTATTGTTTCTCCGTAACCAAATTGATATTAAACATTTTTACAAGAAAATTACAAGGGGGAAATTTTCTTCTTTTCTTTACCTCAAGGCTTTCTCATGAAAGTGGTCTATTTATGCTATTTTAGAAGTCATGTCTTCTCTTAAATGCCACTTATTTAAGCTATTTTCTAGTTAGTGCTCGATACAGTTGAGCCTGAAAACCACAGGCATGGGGGGCTCCAATCACCCACAGACTCTGTCCAAAATCTGCTCTAATTTCTGACTCCCTAAAAGCTGAATTACTGATATCTGACTGTTGACTGGAACCCTTACAGTTGATTAACACATATTTCATATGCTACATATGTTATGTACTTCATTCTTACAGTAAAGTAAGCTAGAGAAAAGAAAATCATAAGGAACATTTACAGTACTGTACTGTATTTATTGGAAAAAATCCACGCATAAATGGACCTGCACAGTTCAAACCCATGTTGTTTAAGGGCCAACTGTACTGCCCTTCTTCTTTGTTTTTTTTTATTTCTCTCCCCCATTAGAATGTCAGTTCCATGAAGGAGGAGATGCTGTGTGTTTTGTGTACTGTTATATCCCTGACATCTAGGACAGTGCCAGGCACATGGTAGAAGCTTAAGAGTTATTACTCTTTATTTTTTCTAGGTTTATTTATTTATTTGAGGGAGAGGGGAAGAGAGAGAGAAAGCACATGCAGTAGGAGGGGCAGAGAGAGAGGGAGAGAGCATCTTAAGCAGGCTTTGTGCTGAGCAGGGAGCCTGACGTGGGGCTCAGTCTCATGATCCTGAAATCATGACCTGAGCCAAAACCAAGAGTCAGATGCTTAACTGACTGAGCCACCTAGGCGCCCCAAGAATTATTTATTTTATTTTATTAAAAAAATGTTTAATTCCAGGGAGCCTGGGTGGCTCAGTTGATTAGGCGTCTGCTTTTGGCTTAGGTTGTGATCTCAGGGTCCTGGAATCGAGCCCTGCATCAGGCTCCCTGCTCAGCTGGGCACCTGCCTCTCTGTCTCCTTCTGCCAGCTGCTCTCCCTGCTTGTTCTCTCTTTCCTTCTCTGTCAAATAAATAAATAAAATTAAAAAGAATTTAGAAAGTTAGCATTTTATTTTATTTGTTTTTGGTCTAAGCATAGGAGGTAATTATTGTGACCCGGTTTCTGGCATAGTTATAGCAAGTTTTCAGTACTTTCCCCCTGGACTCGACTCTCCCCCACTTTCTCACACAGCCTTCCATCAAATATTTTCCAAGCCTGGACTCTAGTCCAGGGCCTGTGCTAAGTGCTGAAGACAAAAGGTGAGTGAGACGTAGTCTGTGTCTTTGAGGAGTGTATGTTTTGGAAAGAGACACTCCAGAGTCATAGTAATGATGAACAGAGTACTGCAAGCATGTATCTGGGGACAGGTGTCTTCAGTAGGGACTTGTCTCTGCTCTGGGCAAGGCCTAAGGAATCTGACATGCAACTGAATTCTACAAGGATTTGTAGCCTGAAAATTAGATAGTGACATTCTCATCAGTGTGAGCCATTTTCCGAGTCCAAGGGGAATAAGTAATTCGGACCAGAATTTGTCATTTTGGAGCTTATACTGTCACTGGTAAGCGGTGAAAAATTAAAAACCTATTTAATTTTTATTCAGTTTATATATCTATATAACCTGCTTATTATAAGAGACATAGTTTATGAATTGTGCTGATTAACATTTATAAGGGTATTTCATCTTAGGGTTCTGTGAAATCATACCTGTTTTTTTACTTGCAAATGAAGATACACATATACTAGAAAATAAATGTTCTTGAATCTAAGCTTGTACTGTTTTTATTCCTTCTAAAGTGGTGTCAATATCAAAATGCCAATCAACTCCAGTGGACCTGATTGGGTGACTGTGATTCCCAGGAGAATAAAAGGTAAAAAGGAAGGAGCATGATGATTTGTTGTTTTTCTTACTAAATGGGTGAGGCTCTGTGGTTTCACTAATGTTATAAAAACTTTTTTCCTCCTTTTAATATGCCATGGACATTAAATTAGTATGCCATGGATGTACTTCTGGGCACAATTGAAAATACTGAAAGAGCTTTTTGATTAAAATAAATCAGACCTTATGTGTATAATCTTGGGCTTTGCTATTTATACTCCTGTAAAAGTCATCTTCTTCCTCCTTTCCCCTCTCTGATAGGCTCCTCAGGAGCCTTCAGTGCTATACTGTCCAATATGGTAGCTACTTGGCTATTTAAGTTAATGAAATAACTAAATACAAAAATAAAGTCTAAAATTTAGTTCTTAAGTCACACATCTTCAGGAGCCATGTGTAGCTAGTGGCTGACATGTTGAACATTTTATTTTATTTTATTTTTCTAATGATTTTATTTATTTATTTGACAGAGACAGTGAGGGAGGGAACAGAAGCAGGGGGAACAGCAGAGGGAGAGGGAGAAGTAGGCTTCCTGTGGAGCAGGGAGCCTGATGTGGGGCTTGATCCCAGGACCCTGGGATCATGACCTGAGTGGAAGGCAGACGCTTAACGACTGAGCCACCCAGGCGCCCCTTGGACAGCATTTTTGATAAAATGTATCCATTATTGCAGAAGTTCTGTCAAATATCGGTGCACTAGAGATACTCAAGAATGTGTATAAAATTGTCATAGGAATTTTTGAAATCAGAAGCATTGGGTTAGTTAATGGCAGTTTTCTCAAAGTGTGATCTCTGTGTTAGCAGCATTGGCATTCATGCGGACTTGCTAGAACTGCAGATTCTCAGGTCTTATCTCAGGCTACTGAATCAGAAACTCTGGGGCATGGGACCCAGGAATCTGTGTTTTAACCTTCTAGGTGACTTTGATGCATTGGTATGGGATATTAAAAGTAAGACAGTGAAATTCTGGAGTAAATGTATATATTCTAGTTTTTTTGCAGAGTAGATGTAAATAGCTATGGTGACTTTTAGGAAAAAAGGATGAATATTATTAAGGAAGCTTATGCAGATGGTAGGCGAAGTCCTTTTAGCTGCTGAAAGCATATATGTATAGTCCCCCATACACAGATATTGCAAACACTGATGCCACAGGGCCTGGGTATATAATACATGTGAATCTAGTCATATATGAAACATCATCAGTGGAAATATTTTTATTTGCCTGGGTCTCCCCCTCCGTATTATCCCCTGCAGTCCTGCACTCCTCATACTCGTGTCCAACACCTCAGGAGGCCCCGTTCCACTACCACATCTACTTTTCTCTGCCACAGTCTCAACCTTCTGCCTAGCCTGCCTTGTCCCTGGGTGTCTAATGGGATAGTCAATGAGTGGAGCTTTGGATGGTTTATGTGCACCTGACAGGTCTTGGTGTTCAGCCAAGAAGTGGTTGTAGGTTTGTGATGTACTGTTCTGTTTAGAGAAAAGACAGATTTAGTAACCAGTGAGACTTCTGATGGATTTTTATTTTTATTTATTTATTTTTGAGATTTTATTTATTTACTAGAGAGAGATAATGAGTGTGGGAAAGGGCAGAAGGAGAGAGACAAGTAAACTCCTTGTTGAGCAGGGAGCCCTTTGCTGGGCTGGGTCCCAGGTCCCTGAGATCATGACCTGAGCTGAAGTCAATCACTTGATGGATTTTTTTTTTTTTTCCCCAGAAGGGAAATCTTTTTTTTTTTTTTTTTTTTTTAGATTTTATTTATTTGTCAGAGAGAGGGAGAAAGCACAAGCAGGGACAGTGACATACAAAGGGAGAAGCAGGTTCCCCGCTGAACAGGGAGCCCAGTGTGGGACTCGATCCCAGGACCCTGGGATCATGACCAGAGCTGAAGGCAGATGTTAAACTGATTGAGCCACATAGGCATCCCATCCCCTTGATGGATTTTTAGAGGAGGAAAGGAACCATGAATCAATAGGAGCATAATAGCCTGGCTTTGAGAAGACCATCTCAGAGCTGGAACATAATTGGAGAGAAAAGAGAAGGGCAATTGCTTTATATAATTAGACCCAGTTTAGGAGAACTTCACTGCAGTTCACACTTATTACCAGCAGGGTGCACTCAAAGACCCTAAGCCATGGGCTCGCATCCTTCTCTTCCTCCCTCTTTATCTTCCTCCCTTCTTCCTTCCTTCCTCTTTTTTTTTTTAACACTGTTTTTTTGGTTTTTAGACTTACATATGAGTTACAGAAATAGTACAAAGTTCCTGTTTAGCCTACACCCAGCTACCCCTTATGCTAACATCTTATATAACCACATAATACTTTGAAAACTAAGATTTTAACATCAGTACAATATTATTAACTACACTGTAGGGTTTGTTTAGATTTCATCAGTTTTTCCACTCATGTCCTTTTTCTGTTCCAGAATCCAGTGCAGGATCCCACATTGCATTTAGTCACCGTGTTTCCTTAGTCTTCCCTCTATGACATTATCTTAGGTGACTCTTAACTTTGAAGAGCATTGGTCAGATATTCTTTAGAATGTTTCTAGCTTTGGATTTGTCTAATGTTTTCTAATGATTGGAGTGAGACCATGCATTTTTGGAAGAACAGAACAGAAATGATGCTGTGTCCTTTTAGGAAAGTACATGATGTTGATAGGTATTGTTAACGGTGTTACCTTTGATCACTAGGTTCACATGGTGTCTGCCAGGGTTCTCTCCTCTCTATATTTATTCTGTATTCTGGAGAGATGCTTTGAGACGGTGGAAGACTGAATAATGGCCCCAAAGATATCCAGATCTTAGTCTTTCAAATTTGTGAATGTTGCTGTATATGGATGGTAAAGGAAACTTTGCATATGTGATTAAGTTAAGGGTCTAGAAATGGGGAGAGATTATCTGGATAATCTGAGTGTCCCCTAAATGCAACCACAAGTGTCCTTTTAAGAGGGAGGCAGAGGGAGATTTCATACAGAAGCAGAAGGCTGTGTGACAACAGAAGCAGGGAGAGACTTGAAGATGCCGAGCTGCTGGCTTAACATGTGGAGAAAGGGGCTATGAGCCAGAGAACACAGCCCTACAAGAGGCAAGGAGACAAATTGCTCCCTAGCTCCTCCCGAGAGAGCATGGCCTTACTGAGACCTTGGTTTTGGCCCAGTTATATGGAATTTGGACTTCTGGCCTCCAAAATGGAAAGAGAATAAATTTGTGTTGTTTTAAGCTACTAAATATGTGGTAACTTGCTGTAGTAGCCACAGGAAACTACTCTCCAGATGTCTCTATATTAAAACAGGATGTAAACGTCCTGTTTCTGCTTACACTTTCACCCACTAATTTTTACATTCATTAGTAGATCTTGCCAGCAGCAATTATTTCTGTAGTATGTAATCCTCATTTTTTAATCTCTCATTCCTAAGACAGTTATTAATTGGAATTTTTCCGTAAGAAAGAGTTGTCCCCTTTTTCCTGTTTGTTTAATTATGCCATTACAGGCTTATGACTCATGATTATTTATTTCATTCTTTAGGTTATTACTTAATTCACTTGTTATTTGTTTTGTTGCTCTAATTGCTCCGGTTTTGGCAATTGGGAACTTCTTCCATTAGGCTCCTGTGCCCCTTTGACATGCTGTCATTCCCTGCCCCCCCCCCCCTTCCAGTGTAAGCACTTCCTTATTTTCTGGCCCCACAAGATATTTCAGATCCATCTTGTATTTTCTTTGCCCTGGCCTTGGAAATGTTTATAGTCTTTCTACTTTTATTATTTTACTTATGAATCCTGTTTTTCGAAGGCTTTTTTTCCTTACCAGCTTTTAAAATGTATTAGTTAACTTATTTTCCTACAAGTTAAAATTATTCTAAGAAGCATATTTAGTCTGCTGAATTGTTCAAAATTACCTGTCTACCCCCAAGCATAGGTATAATTCTAGTCAAATTAAGGAACCATAGGGACAAGATCTGGTTTCTGACAGGCTTTCCCAGTGTCAGAATTGCTGTTGACTTTTCATTAACACCTGTACTGTGGTCCCTAGACTATCATAGCCTAATAAAAGCCTTCATGGCTTCTAACATCACCAACTAAACTAGAGCTCATTTTTGGGGGAGCTTACTGGGAGTTTGGGATAAAACTAGATCAAATAGAACAAACACTCACATCTTTGTAGCCCTTTGCTATTTTATCTTTTGAGGGGTATCTTACAGACAGTAGAATGCATGGATTGTAAATATATAGTACAATGGAAATTTACATTTATATCTGTCTTTGTAGCTGTGGTAGTTCACTTCTAAGATGACTCCCAGGGACCCATGCCCATATATAATTCTTTTTCTCTTGAGTGTGGAAAGGACCTGAAAATATGATGGGATATCACTCCCATGATCTGATTATGTAACAAAGTTGACTTTTAAAAAATATGCTATCCTAGGTAAACCTGACTTAATTGGATAAGCCCTCAACAGGAACCAGGTTCTTCTTGAAGAGACTTGAAGTGTGAGAAGGCTTCCATGTAAGGGAGATACTTTGTTACTGAGTCTAAAGGTGGAGGGGACCATGTGACCACAAAGGTAGGCAGGTTCTAGGAACTGAAGGGCATTCCCTGATTGATGATCACCAAGGAAACAAGAAACTCAGTCTTATAACCACAAGAAACTGAATCTGGCCAACAACTGTTTTTTTTATTTTTTATTTTTTTAATTAACACATAATGTATTATTTATTTCAGGGGTACAGGTCTGTGAATCATCAGTCTTACACAATTAAGAGCACTCATTGTAGCACATACCCTTCCCAGTGTCGATATCCCAGCCACCCTATCCCTCCCTCCTACCCCCCAACAACCCTCAGTTTGTTTCCTGAGATTAAGAGTCTCTTACAGTTTGTTTCCCTCCCCGGTCCTATCTTGTTTCATTTTTTCCTTCCTTAGCCCCCACAACCCCTCACCCTGCATCTTACATTCCTCATATCAGAAAGCTCATATGATAATTGTCTTTCTCTGATTGACTTACTTCACTTAACATAATACCCTCTAGTTCCATCCACATCATTGCAAATGGCAAGCTTTCATTTTATTTGATAGCTGCATAGTATCCCATTTTATATATATATATATATATATATATATATATACACACACACACACACACACATACATACACACACACACTGTATCTTCTGTATCTGTTCGTCTGTTGATGGACATCTAGGTTCTTTCCATAGTTTTGGCCAAAAATTTGAATGAGCCTGGAAGCAGATTTCTCTCATCTTCGGAAAGGAGCACAGCCCTGCTGACAGCTTGATTTCACCCTGTGAGACTCTGAGAATCCTGCTGTGCCTTGCCTTGGACTCTTGACAGAACTCTTGATAATAAATGTCCCTTGTTTTTGAGCTGCTTAAGTTTGTGGTGGTTTGTTACACAGCAATAGAAAATGAATTGAGTGTAACTACCACCCACATGAAGATACAGAATGTTTAGTACATATAGAATATTTCCAACATTCCAGTGTTCCCTGTATTTAGAAATGATTGAGACTACTAATACTACTATAGTATTAGACTTTGATGACAGCCCTTCAAAACAACTAGTAATTAACCATTTTGTAGATAATGAGACCAAGTTCCAGAGACTCATTCAGTTTGACATCTACTTTGTGTCCGATGCTAGACCAGACTCTGAGAGATGTTAGACCAGACTCTGAGAATACAGGGGATTAAGAAGATGAGAGTTTAAGTGATTTCTGGGGTCTCACATTGGGGAGATGGAGCCACACATAAACCAGAGCCTCTGACTCAGGTCTGGCCCCTTTTCTGTGTCTCTTAACCCTGCTTGGAGGTGTGGTGGAGGACATCTTGCTGTTAGGGTTTGTCTGCAGTAGTGGAATCCATCAACTCTCTAAGATCTAAATGCATCCAAACGATGGAGTGAATGATGAAACACTGTTGGATGTTGGTGAAAACCAGACTGGTGCTGTAATGGATGACACGTCAATCTGATGTTGATGTGGTAGCGTAGCAAATTGGACAAAACTATTTTGAAGACAAGAGCTTTCCAGTTGTTGGAAAAAATACTTCCTACAGAATACATTTTATTTGGCTAACTTAGAAAATCAAAGGGCTCATATCCTCCATGTACAATCTAACTAACTGATATCATTTGGGGGTAGGAAGCCCACCCCCACAACTCTATCCGTAGTGTAATATATGCCTTTGTAAACAGTATAGCCCTGACCACTAGCTGTCCCTATAACTCTTTGAGAAACTTTGGCAAGTCACTCTGTGACATACTTTCTTCACCTTTAAAAGATATTTAGACTAGCTATTATTTGAAGTCCTTTTCAACATTCTTTAAGTATGTAGGTATTTCTACCTATACCTACTTATAGCTTTCCTCTATAAAATGCTTAGCTTTTGGAGGACTAAAGTATAAAGAAAAAAAATTAAATTCCCAGGATTTTCTAGGGGGACTCAAGGGTAAAGTCACACTCAAGCTACAGTAATGACTGTGTAGCCAGGACCTTCTCACAGTCCCAGCACTTGACAGGGTATCCCTAAACAGCTCCACACATGACGTCCTCATTTCTTGTCTCCCTGAGATGGCACCCTAGTGTTCCTGTGCCCACTGTGTTCCCTAATGCAAGGAATTGTTTGATTCTTTTTCTTCTCTGTCTTGTCTTGTTTTTCCTCTCATGAACTGTACATTCTCCTTTGGCCTACCTTTTCCTTTTCTTTGTTCTGTAGGTAATTCCATGCTGAAAAATTAAGGGACTTGTGCATAACATGTACTTACACACACCTCCCACCCTTAATTCATACTGTATCTCTCACCCAGCTCTTTCTAGATAGTTTAGGGAATTTTTTTTTTTTCTCTGCATTTTCTCTCTCATTTTGTCTCATTTGTGGCCCAAATAGCCCTCATTTTGGCTAATGAATGACATGGTATGACACCCTTTGGAGGAAAAGATAAGCTACGGGTTTTAAAAAGAAGCCAATACTGTTTAGAAAAGCAGGGACCTTACTTGCAAGTAATCAAAACTATCCCTTCTGATTTTGCATAAAGATCTTCTCTGTCTTTATAACGACCTCCAGGAAAACTTCTTCCTTCATCGTCAGTATTTAAGATAACTGTAAAATTAAGTAATAAGTTATTTTTGTTTTAAAATTACTTAAAGATTTAATTTATTTATTTGTCAGAGATTGAGAGAGAGCACACAAGCAGGGGGAGCAGCAGGCATAGGGAGAAGCAGACTCCCCACTGAGCAAGGAGCCTGATGTGGGACTCCATCCCAGGACCCTGGGACCATGACCTGAGCCAAAGGCAGATGCTTAACCAACTGAGCCACCCAGGCATCCCAAAATTACTTTTATTCCACATGCATAGTACATTAGGGTTATATATTCAATTTTAGAGACTTTCATATTTTATGTGAAAATTTTGAGATCCAAGAAATGCTGACTTTGAAACAACTTATAGCTGTCCCTATAGCTTATTAAAGTCTTATTAAATAGGAAAGTCTTATTAAAATAGGAAAGTTGTTGGGATGCCTGGGTGGCTCAGTGGATTAAGCATCTGCCTTCAGCTCATGTTATGATCTCAGGGTCCTGGGATCGAGCCTCACATCAGGCTCCCTGCTCAGCAGAGTTTGCTTCTCCCTTTCTTTCTCCTTCTGCTTCTCCCCTCTGCTCCTGCTCTCTCACAAATGAATAAATAAAATCTTAAAAAAAAAAAAAAAAAGGAAATGTGTTTGTCTTAGCTGACCATAAGAGGGCAATGTAGGTTCATGTGTTTTACTTTAAAAATATGCTCTGTTATCTAGTGCTGTATGTGTAAAGAATTAATGGCAGGTTCAGTAATTGATTTGCTTTGCTTGACTTAACTCTGGTAATAAATATTTGAATGGAAATGGTAATTGTTTCTTGTGTGATGTATGCTTTTCTTTATAACATGTATTTGACATAGAATAGCCAAGTCTCCTAAATTAACCATGGTAAAAATGGTAACTTCAAAATCACTCTTGATTCCCAGTCTAGTAAATGTTTTCTTTGGGCCCCAGGTGTCTTCTCTAGAGCTCTCCGCCTTTGTAAGCTTGACGTGCTGATGTAATGAGGGAGCTTTGGGCAGGGTGTGGTAACATAGTAAAGCCACACTTTGTGACATGGGGAGAAATTGTTTTTGAATAAGCCAGATATATATTTACCCCCCCATTTTTCCTTTGACAATCATATTCTCCAAGTAAAGTTTTTATTTTCCTCCCTCCCTCTCTCTCTCTCTTTCTTTCTTTCTTATAAAGTTTAAAAAAAAAAAATGCTGTTTACCTTTCTGCTTAGGCCCTGAACCTTCAAAGAATTAGCAGCTGCCTAATTTAAAAGATGAAATTTGCACTATCTCTCACATAGGGCATCTTCTTTGAAGAGAATAAAACCAAAATAATTTTGTGTAATATGAATAATATCAATATGATAAACTGAAAATAGCCACAAATACTGGACTCATAGTTAAATTGCTGAGTCATATAAACATTTGGATTTCAAATTGTGGTTTAACAGGTGAGACTGCAGAATTACTGGATTATGATAAGGTTGGAGACTTGGGGTGTGTAAGGAAGTGATGTCAAGTAATTGGTGGTTTTTGAAGATTGTAGATTCGAATAAGTGTTGGAAATGAATAAGTGTACAGCTTCAGGAAGAAAGCCAAACAGAAAATAGCTGCCATCTACAGCCATCTTCTTTTGAGTGGTGATGTAGCACGGTGGTTAGAACGTGGGCTCTGGGGCTCACCAGCCTGGATCAGGTCTTGGCTTTGCCACTTATGAGCTCTGGGTCTAGGTCAAGTCACTTAGCTGTTTTGAAAGGTAGGGGTAACAATAGCACCTACCTCTTAAAGGGTTATCATGAGCATCGAATGAGATAATATGTTTAATTGCAGAGTAAACTCACAAGAAATATTCGCCCTCCCAGTCTGTTTATTTTGAAGCATGTAAAGTGTGTTGTTTCTGCAGAAGCATTTTCCAAGGGAGGTGTTAGGGCAGAAGGATGTTGACTCTTTCTCTGAAACATGTGCTGGCACTTGTGTCATCATGTGTAGTGAGTACACATGGCTGCTCCATTTTATCTTATTTTACAAAGATTTTATTTATTTATTTGTCAGAGAAGGGGAGAGAGAGAAAGAGAGCGCACAAGCAGGGGGAGCAGCAGGCAGAGGGAGAAGCAGGCTTCCCACAGAGCAGGGAGTCTGATGTGGGACTTGATCCCAGGACCCCAGATCATGACCTGAGCAAAAGGCAGACAATAAAGTGACTGAGCCACCCAGGCACCCGTGCTGCTGCATGTTAAATACTGTTCATTGTGCAAAAAGACCTTCTGAGCCTTCTGTGTTCTGGGGAATAATTCCTTAGAGTATGTAGATTTGGTTTGTTCTCTGTATTAAGTGGTGGTTTTCTGAATTCATATTTGATTATAGGACCCATAGGTTAAAACTTCCCTTTTAATAGGCTGAGCAAAAGACTGATCTAGCTATACAAATGTAAAATATAAATTTAAGGTTGACTTACCTCATAGCCTTTTGTATGAGAAACTTAGTCTGGGATAATACTGGACAGTATTTATATCTACACATTTCCATGGTATTTGCCTGCTTTTATTTTTGGCTTTGATAGAAACATGCATAATCAGAGGGGAATGCTCAAGGTCCCCTTTTCCCCTTCTGTCCACCAATACCCTCACACACATTTCAGATCTTCCTATTTTTGTGCAAAGGAGAACCTTTCGTAGCAAGGGGAAAGTCTGGGATTTCTCTGAGTTGTGATGACAGGAAATCTTACCCATATACAAGCCGGCTAACAAATATAGGGACATAATTTTGTTTCTTGGAGCATTTTCCATGTAGAGTTTGCTGGAGGAGACTTTCAGAATATCTTATTTTTTCCTTTTTCTTTTCAGAAACTAACAATCTAGAAATATCACAAGGCTCAGGAACTTTTCCTTCTGGATATTATTACAAAGATCAGTGGAGGCCCAGAAAGTTTAAGATGCGCCAGTTTAATGACCCTGACAACATCACAGCATGCTTACAAAGAAAAGTGGTGTACTTATTTGGAGATTCAACAATCAGGCAATGGTTTGAATACCTTACTACGTTTGTTCCAGGTTGGTACTTTACATTTTGTTTTACAACTCTTTTCCACATGCCCAGAATCAGCTTGCTTCGCTCCAGTGCCCGAGGAAGAGCACCAACCAAGGAAGTAGTTATTTCTCTGTAGGACTAAAGAGCTATCCTAACCCTGAAGAGCTGTGTGATGGTTTCTGATCCATGGTGGGGTTGACGTATTGATGGAAGCACTGGGTCCTTGGTGAAGTTTCATACCACTGATTAGCTGTGTGATCTTGGACATATTATTGACTTAATGAAGGACTTCTCCGTCCTTCATTTCTTCACGCATGCAATGAGGCAGCAGGACGGTGTTACCCTACAGCAGACCTTTACTTTTGCTGTTCTGGGCTCTACAACAGAAGTGGACATTTCCAATTGTTTCTCTCCTAGTTGTTTGGTCAGACTCCAAGTTTGTAATAGATTTCACTGGAAGGAAGCAGACAAACTGACTATGGTCCATTTTAATGCATCCATTCAGCAAAACCTTTCCAGTGTCGTCCGTTGGGCATACCATTGGTATGATTCTGAGATGAGCGGGCTCCTACTGAGGGAGTCTTGATCAGTCCCAGCATTTTTAGCTTCCCGATTTCACTGCTGGGCTCTCGGGGTGCTATCCAGACTCAGAATAAAACCCCACTCACCGGAGAGCCATCCTTTATTCAAGGGCCTTTTCCTCCTCGTGGAATGTGTGTGGATGGGGTTAGGAGAGATGAGTGCCAGGTAACAGCACTAAAGACCCTGCTTACAATTTAGAGAGCTGACAAGTAATTCTGTGGGAACTATTTTTGAGGGCTGTGTATGGCAGGGCTTTCCACAAAGAACAGTCCCCTAGTTTTGTTGTGAGTTGTTGTTGGTATTTTTTTCATATTTTTTTTTTTTTACATCAACGTAGTTTCAGACTTAATTTTTAGAAGGAAAGGAAGAAGTAGATCTGATCCCCAAAAGTAGAAAGTTAATTCCAGTTTTCGTTTTGCTTGTTTTTTTGAAATAGGCATAGCCGACTTTAGTCAATAAAGCATGAATTAAAAACTAGAAAAAGAGATATAATTTGTATGGCATAATGCTAAACATGTTTTGCTGCTGGCTAGGCAGATTCCTCCAAGAATCTGTAGTTGTTTGTTTCTTAAGTTATAATGACGTAGCTCATTATTTCCTTTCATCGGAGTGATCACATTGAGTGTCTTGTTTTCCACCATATCCTTTGCAGACAGATTTTCACCTGATAAAGCCTTGTGTCAGTGCTTGATCTTAATCAAAAGAAAAAATGGTAGCTTGAGTTTATTCAACTTAAGTGGGGCCAAATGCTAAGTAGTAATGAATCGAGTAGGAAAATCTAAAAGAGGAGCCTGAGACTGCAGGAGAGAAAAGTGACACCTTTAACCTGTAAGAAGAATGTACACCAATTATAGTGTGATGTTACTTCTTCAGAATTGACTGTGTACCTCTGGAGATCAAGGACTGTTGACTTACCCATCTGATCCTTGCTGGCTTATGGCACTGAATAGGTACTCAGAAGTGCTAATTGACTTGGGTTGCCAGAAGTTATTTAGTCTGTTCTCTGAAAGGCACTTGTAGGAGCATTTAAGTATATGAGACAGGTCCTCTTCCCTTAGGGGCTTATGTTAAGTGATGAATTGTATAGACAGAGTTTTTTAGGGTTAACAAAAGAGAAATAATCACTGATTCCTAGGACCTTCAGAAGATCTCAGAGGAGCTAAACTTTGAAACACCACTTAGATAATGGGGAGGAAGAAGGGAATTCTAACTTGTACAGCTGTCTCTGTTATTCTTGTGACAGAGATAGACATTCTCTAAGATATTAATATGATTTTCCATCCATAGGGTGAAATAGAAAGTTAAAAGAAACAGGGTTGCTCCTTTCTTTCATGTATTGCAAAAAGAGGTATTTGGTTACTATTATATGTTCTTAAAAAAGCAGAAGTTAGAGCCCTTGTCCTAGAAGAAACAGTATTTGTCCATTAGAAGAATAATGTGTAAATGCCAAGTTGATTTTTAAGATATTCAACAGTCGGTGCAAACAGGAAGATATCTTGGCCTACTGGTTAGAGGTAAAGAGGTTATTTTGCTTCTGAGGTTTACAGACATAGGTATCACTGATAGTTTAAATAATAAATATGTTAGACTAAAGGTCTATTGAGGCCAGTGAAATAATTATTCCCTTTACACTTGTACTTTTTTGTTATGCTTTTATTTAAGAAAAAGTTCTTTTAAGCTGCTAAGTATAGAATGATCATAATATATGTGCTTGGTTTTATGAATTTGAGTTTTATGAATTTGAGTTTTCCTTGTTTCAGATTTAGTGGAGTTTAACTTGGGTAGTCCCAAGAATGTGGGTCCTTTCCTCGCGGTGGACCAGAAGCACAACATCCTGCTCAAATATCGCTGCCATGGTCCACCCATCCGTTTTACAACTGTCTTTAGCAATGAGCTCCATTATGTGGCCAATGAGCTGAATGGCATCGTGGGAGGGAAGAACACCGTGGTTGCCATAGCTATATGGTCTCATTTCAGCACCTTCCCCTTGGAAGTGTACATCCGGCGGCTCAGGAATATCCGTCGAGCCGTGGTCCAGCTCCTGGATCGAAGCCCTAAGACCGTGGTAGTCATCCGAACAGCCAACGCCCAAGAGCTGGGGCCCGAGGTGAGCCTCTTCAACAGTGACTGGTACAACTTTCAGCTGGACACCATCCTCCGGAAGATGTTCTCAGGGGTTGGAGTGTATCTCGTTGATGCCTGGGAGATGACCTTGGCTCATTATTTACCCCACAAGCTACATCCAGATGAAGTTATTGTGAAGAACCAACTAGACATGTTCTTGTCCTTTGTGTGCCCTGAGGAGACCTAGCCCGCCCTGGAGGGGACTGGAGGAATCACATTACCTGTGTTACAGGAAGTTTATGGCTGGCCCCATGGAGACATACCTGCTAGTGACATGTACAAAATTTCAAAAGGAACTGGACTTTATATGAGACTTCTAAGGAGCTTAGAAAATGCAGGTTGCATTTATATCTACCTACAGGATTTTTTTCCAATCTTTACATAGCCATTGGAGAATCATTATTAACAACATCTACGCACTGTATTCCTCTTGTAACCAAAGATGCTAATGAGTGTATTTGAATTAGCCTCTCCTGAGAGGGGAGAGTACTACGCTAAAAACTGTGAGACGTATTCTGACCTAAATGGTTGGTAGTGAAATGTTTGTAGCTTATCTGGTAAAGGAGAGTGAGCTTATCTGTATGAACAGCACAGTTGGTCCATCTTTGGTGGGATGAACTAATGAGGCTTCTGGTCAGTGCCTCCTGTAACACACTGAAAACTGCTGTGTCTTGGGAGTTCCTCTTGATGATCCACCTCTTCTGAGTTGCTTTTCAGGCTGGAATCCTTGCTCAGATTTTTCTAGTGAGAATATTTACAATATTCTGCATTTATCTAGAAAAGAAGCAAAAGGAAAGTATGAAAACAGTACACAAAATCTGTGTGTTGAATTGATACTTGCACTGGGGGGTTGTTACTTATTTCAGCTGAATTTTACATGATGAATACTTTAAAATAATCACTTTTGGAACTGGAAGGGGGAATCTATAAATGGAAATTTATTTTTGTGTTTTGAAGTTTGAGGGTTTTAAGAACTGCATTTTATGTAAAGATTGTTTATTATAAAGTTGTAGAAGTTACTTGCATCAATTTCAAGTGTTTCTTTTTTGGTTGTTATTTTGAATTACATACCAACATTAGAAATTAAAATCTAATTAGAATCTAAAGTTCCATATTGAGATCTAGAACAGGTTTTATTGATTTGAATGTAAGGTACATACATTCTCTCATGCTTGGAAGTAAAAAGCTGCTATTCCTACTGCTATCCTAAAATAATTGAATTATTGACTTTACTTGACTGTCTTTACCTTATTAATTTAGATGAGTTTAGGTTAACTTGGGGCCTTTTAGTAAGTATAAGTATTCTTTTCCGAGCCACAATAGGTTACAATCTAGTTTTAGTTATCCCTAAAGGGACACATGAAGAGATTGGGGAAGCTTTAGAGATAAAGACAGTTGCTTAAAGCATGAAAAAGAATACACTCTTAGGAGAGTGGGCCAAAGAATTTGGAGTTTTAACTTAGAACAGAGAGTGTAAGATCTTCCTTCTTAGCCTTGAGGACCACCTTCAGTTTATAAAATATATATATGGGGAAAGGAGATTTTAAATTATTTTCTGAGTCTAAAGAGGACCAACAAGTAGTTAAAAATATTAGGAAAGCTTAATTTTAATGGTCTTTAAGCTTTAGAGTGTCTGAGAATCACCTGGAATATTTGATAAAAATACAGACTTAGGGGGTCATGCTTCTGGCAATTGTGGAATCAACCTTTGTTTCAATTGTCCAGGAACTGATGTAATAGTAGTATTCTACACTTTGAGAAATACCAACCAAGGGAAGAAGGAAGATAGAACTAAGGAAATAATATAGCTTGTCTATTATTTCAAGAGCTTATTCCTTAACATTTAATTCTGATCATGATCTAGTAGCGTAGGTGATATTAGGTACCTTTTATAGATGAGGAACTCAAGTTTGGATTTGAACCAAGGTATGTGAGAAGTACATAGCCCTTTTCAACTACAACTTGTTGGACTTTATAAAGAGAGATTCTCTTTTTCACAAAAGAACTTGTTGAGCATTTTCTCAAAGATTGCTGGAGGAGGCCGAGGCTTCATCTTCTTAGGAGAATTATGGTTTCCACTGCCTCTCCAGGGCTTTGGCATGATGCCTTTTTTTTTTTTTTTAAAGATTTTATTTATTTATTATTAGACAAAACAAATGGGAGAAGGGGCAGTGGTAGAAGCAGACTCCCCACTGAGCAGGGAGCCCGATGTGGGACTTGATTCCAGGACCCTGGGATTATCATCTGAGCTGAAGGCAGAAGCTCAACCAACTGAGCCACCCAGGTGCCCTGGAGTGATGCTTCTTGTTTGTGCAGATGATTTCTTGTGAGATCTCATCCAGTTTCTGTTACTTTTTGATATAGTTACATAAGGCCCTAAAGATTTGATGACACAATCTCTTGAAGTATTCTAATTGACTTTGTCCCTTTACTAATTTACCTGCCTTCCTCTCCCCTTTCCTTTCCAGAGAGAGGTGTGTGAGCTGGGGGAGGAGCAGAGAGAGGGAGAGAAAATCTTAAGCAGGCTCCACGCCTAGCATAGAACCTGATGTGGGGCTTGATCTTACAACCCTGAGATCATGACCTGAGCGAAAATTAAGAAGTCAGATGCTTAAGGGTGCTTAGGTGGCTCAATTGGTTAACTGTCTGACTCTTCCTGGGATAGAGTCCTGCCTAGAGCCCACACTCAGTGGGGAGATTGCTTGAGATTCTCTGTCCTCTCCCTCTATGCCCCGCCGCCCCCACCACCACCAGGTTCAGTCTCTCTCTCTTTCTCAAAAACGAATAAATCTTAAAAAAAAAAAAAAAAGAGAGATGCTTTAACTGACTGAGCCACCTGGGTACCCCTCTAACTTGTCTTTATATTTTCTGATGTGGGAGTTTCTAAAAAAATGCCTTAAAAAAAAAAGATTTTATTTCTTATTAAGAGAAAGTGCAAGTGAGGGGAGAGGGAGAGAGAGAATCTCAAGCAGATTCCATGCTGAGTGTGGACCCCAACTCAAGGCTTGATCTCACAACCATGAGATCATGACCTGAGCCAAAATCAAGAGTCCCATGCTTAACCAACTGAGCCACCCTTACGTCCCTCCAAAAATGTGTTTAAGTGTGGAGTTTGGAACAATATTTTAATTTCTTCTGAAAAGTTTATTTTAGGCCAGTATCACATAGTTGTAAATATTAGCATGCTAGCCAAATAATATAATTTGTTATATATATTTTCCATTATAAATATAAAGGGCATCGTTATTTGAGAACTGTAAAACCTAGACAAAAATCTTTAGATAGAATCCATAATTCTATCATCTGAATATGATAGGCATAGCATTTTGGTATATTTTCTTTCAGGTTTTTTTTAAAACCACATAGCTAAAATCACAGGTAATATGTAATATGTATCTTTATTTTAAATTTAACATACAAATATTTTCTAGTTAGTCTTCATAACTGAATTATAAAAGTCTGCCCAATAGTTCAGCTAATGCTGTTACTATTTAATGAAGTTGGCCATTATGGTTGGACATTTAGGTTTATAATAAAATATTAAGCAGTGGTTTATATACAGTTTCATTAGATTAAACCATGGACTTTTATTTTGGAATGACAACATTAATTTCATTTAGTGGATCTCCTCATATTCTAGAGCTCAGATGATTGATTCGATGCTCCTTGTGAAAGGGATAATCCATAATAAGGCCCTTCTATGCACATTATATTTTCTAGAAGTTTTCTTACTAAGAGTAACCTTTCATTAGCAGTACAAAACAGACCTTTGGTGTTCCACTATGATCCATTTTACCATTATGAACAACCATCATTTTTTCAACCTTTTAAAAAAATTTTTATTTATTTATGAAGGAGAGAGAGAGTGCGCATAAGCAGGGGGGAATGGCAGTCAGTGGGAGAAACAGGCTCCCTGCTGAGCAAGGAACCCAAAATAGGACTCCATCCCAGGACCCTGGGATCATGACCTGAGCTGAAGGCAGCCGCTTGACATTGATTGACATTTCCTGGCTTCAGGTATTATGTTTCAGATTGATACATTGGGGTGTAACAAGAATATTTGGTAAGCCTTTACATATTCATATTACGTGCCAGAGATGAGTCTGTTTCTGGGCCCTATTAAGGGAAAAAGCAATTACTGGGAGAAGCACCGGGAAATTACCAACCCCCCAAAGATGCTCAGCATTATCTGGGTATATTCAGTTTATTAGCATCAGCTAGTTACTTATGTTAGAAATTCCACTTTAAGTTCATTCATTCTCTTGTGTTAATTATTTTCTTCAGGGTTTATGTCTGCAGTGTGGTCTCAGTCCCTTACAATACCTGACTTCTCAGTTGCAATAACTAGATAGGATTTCGAAGGTGTTCTTTTTCTGTTTGAAAGTAAGACCACAGTTCCTGAGTATTGGGAGCACCTAGGAATGGGGGGACGACTGGGAAGTGGTGGGAGATAAGAGGGTTGCTGAAGGCAGAACTTTATAGGATACAGAAGGCAGAAGGGCACAAAATGCATTTCACCAAGTACAGTCTAACCTATCTCTTGAAAGTGCATTTACATTTTAACCTGTATTTTATTTTTTGAGATTTTATTTTGAGAGAGAGAGAAGGAGCAGGGGAGGGGGCAGAGGGAGAGGGAGAAGAAGACTCCCCACTCAGCAGGGAGCTAGATATCTCTCCATCCATCCCAGGACCCTAGCTAGGGTCAGGACCTGAGCTGAAGGCAGAGGCTTAACTGACCCAGCCACCCAGTTGCCCCACATTTTAACTTTTTAAAAAAGTGTGAATTTAAGTATCATATTTTGATTTATTTTTTAAAATATTTTATTCATTTGATAAAGAGCACGAGTGGAGAGAGGGACAGTGGGGGAGGGAGAGGGAGAGGGAGAAAGAGAATCTCAAGCCCACTCCACACTGAGCAGGGAGCCCCATACAGGGTTGGATCTCTTACAACACTAAGATCAGAACCTGAGCTACTCAGAGGGCCCTCATACTCGCTTTAATAATATTCTCCATTGAATGAGGGGAAGTCAGGAAGAAGGATCTCCTGTTAAAGTTTTAAGGATCTTTTGGTCTTTAGCTCTAGATGTCCATTCCTATTGGAGACTCACACATGTCTGGTCTAATTATAAAGGTGCATTTTAACACTGCGGGGGATGCGGGGGGTGGGTGGGGAAGCAGTACAGGGATTACAGTTGTAATTGTCCCAGAAGGAAAAGGAGTCACAGTGAAACCAAATGTCATAGGCAAAATCCTTTAAATGTTACGCAATAGTTCATTCTCTGTTTAAATTCACCCCACTCTACCCCCTGCCCCTGCCCCAGTGAAAATAACGGGATCCTGTTAAAGAACCACTGCTTTATTTATGTCTCAGATTATCCTTTGTCATTGAAGGCACATGACAGCCATACTACTTTTTTTTTTTTTTTTTTTTTTTTGCCATACTACTTTTTAATTGCCATGGTTTGAAAAGCTGTGTTGTAGAAAGTATCAACATACTCCCCGCCCCCCCCCTTAAGACCTACAGGAAAAAGGCTAAATAAGAAGAGAAGGTGAATCAAATGAGGGAGCAACGCCAACGCCCGGTGTGGATTAATTGAGATTTTAGAAAGGCATCCCTAAGAAAAATGTTTTGTTTTTGTATTTTCCTGTGATTCCTCTGCGGGATTCCAGTCCAGGTCTTGGAACCGGCCCTCGAGGGGAATGTCCGGGACTCGCGTTGGTACCTTTTTGGCTTGGGAATTTCCCGAATGCAGAAAAAAAGTCCACAAACCTAGTCGTCCTTGCCCCCTCCCCGCCTCCTCCGCCCCTCCTCCGTGCCCACGCAATCCCTTTCGAGCGGCCGTTTGATTGTATTCTGTATTTTAGAAAATAGGTCCTTAGCTTCCCCCGCCCCCATGCGCTCTAGAGTGCTGAACAGAAAGCGTACGCTATAAAGGGGGACAGGGAGAGGGGCTGGCCCCTTATTGCCACGAGGTCAGACGCCGAGTTTTAGAGAAAGAGGCTGCTTAACTGCTGCTGC